AATTTACCCACGTCGATTCAATTATACAAATACAAACATTTTACTATTGGCATATTGGATAATTATAAGTTTTCAATGATATAAATTACTAATATGTTTATAATTTTTTCCTGTTCAAATTAAAGGCTGAATTGCCGAACAATCGCCTAAATATCAGGCTATTATATACTATTCGGGCTTTGAACGTTGTTATTAAAGGCTGAATTACAATCATCAAATTCTCTGAATGATTTTTCATCCTTCATCTTTGAACATGAATTTTTCAAATTGTTAAAATTGATCATTATCTATTCCAAATGCAGAATAACTTAATCAAGTATTTCTCACTCGGTTTGAGATTTACCCAATTTTTTGAATTATATATTACTTGAGAAGTATACGATTTAAAATCTGATGAGTAAAAGACTAAATTTAACAATTATACTATATTACAAATCTGAATATTTTTAATTTACTTAATAAATCACTGACTTTTTTTTCACTTTTTCCATCATTTGGATATTAAGTGGGCCTCCGAATCGTTCTGTCGTGGGTTCGACCAGACTGGATGACGAAGAATGGAGCCCGACATATTTGGACAGATTGCCCTCAAAACTGGTAGGGTTTATTACCAGATCACCAGAGTGACATTCTGGTATCTTTATTGTCTCGGCCACAAACAAAATTGATTTCTGTGAAGTCAATTCATCTTTCTAATTACATGTTTAGTAAAAAAAAACATTAACATTTTCTTTAAGATCTGCATTGTAGTGGAGTTACAAATCTAAAAAATAAACATTGCTCTTGTATAATTTTTGATCAGCAGACAACTGCAATTTATTACAATTGTCTTATACTTCTTTCGGATTAAATTAAAAGTATTATCTTATAGAAAAATTGGATTAAATTACTCTTTTACCAGGAAAATAATTAATTAATTAATTAAGAATTATCCCATTTGTTTTAAATAGCTTGTAAATTAAAGGAAAAAACGTCTACAGATCCAAAATCCTACAACAAATTAAGCTAATGTTTGTTAGTTGTACCTAAATCCTGCCAATTAATTGCTTCGTCATCTGTATAAATCCTATAAATTTTTTAATCAGTAATCAGTAAGTAATTCCGAAAATAATTAAGGATATGCCTACCCTTTTTTATTTTTTTGCCTAAAGAACATAGGAAACGATACCAGTTAATAGGTGATTTCATCGAATATATTTACATTTAACACTCAAAAAAAATCATCCTTATAAAGTCATAATTTCTTTCCTTTTCCTAGATGTTTCTGTTTCCAATTTCGAATTAAAAAAAAAATAAAAGAGAAATATATTTTTTCCTAAAGGAGATGTTATTACGCAAATTTCCTTAATTCCAATGCGTTATAAATGATTTCCAACAGCGAAAATTAGGGAAAAAAAACCTTTAATATGAAATTAATATCTTATAATTCATACTCCAGACAAAATGACTTTATCAAATTAGCAATCCATTAGTTGATTACAACGAATTACTATTTAATAAACGAATTCCCGATGNCAAATTACTTATAAAAATATATTAAAATCGAAGTATCGATTATAATATAAGAAAATTAATTATTATTATTTAAATTATAGAAAATGTAAAATGATAAGCGCGTGTAGATTTCGAGTGGTTTGTGATTAACGAGAGAAAATTCTATGTTTCGGTGTATAGATGAGAGGCGATGTAAGAGTGGTAGACCAACGTCGGCAAACACATCTGTCGACGAGCAGATGGAGAGAGAGAGAGAGACCTTGGATTCTGTTGGGATATGACCTGGGAGACGTTGGCTTCGGTTTACAAAACATGGCCTAACTATGGGAAGACGATCTCATGACTAAGAGCCGGGGACAGATAAGGTCAAAAGGAAGAAAAAAAACCGAAAAAAAAAAAAATATTGTAGTGAGTGCTAATCGGATATACGATGGCAAATGAATTGTGGAGTGTCTATTCTAATTACTAAAGATTTTATTATAATGTCCTAAAATACTATACTTTTATTATAATTCCTAGCCGTATACGCGATTAATTTAGTTAATTTTTAATGTTTTCGTATATATATATATTACATATAGACTTATATATATATTTTTTAAACATAAAGGACTGACAGCTTTTACATATTCCAAGAGTTTCTTACGAAATATTTAAAAATTGTTCACGTATTGCTCAGGCATACTTTAAAAATTTTTACGACGCTCACGTAAATTTTTCATATAAAATTCAAGAATATTTTAAAAATTTTATTATTATGACACTTCGAAAACATATTTTTTATTAATTTTACGGTTGATAAATTACAACTAAATGTCACCGAAGTAATTCTGTAAACATTAAAATTATTAAAACATTAGAAAAATAATAAAAGGAATCCGATTTAAACTTTGCAGTGAACGTAATTTGTAATGCATAAGAGAGGAGGCCTTTCTCTTCTCTAACCTTTTAGGTAATAGAGGAAAGGCCCTCTTAGCGTGAGGCCCTCTCTTTATTCTCTTTTAACGAACCGTTTTTATATAAAAAAATACAAATAAAATCTTAGAATTTCTTCAACATTATAATGAGAAAACATTAATAATCGAATTATAACGAAAATAAGCTTGACGTACACGTGAGCTTCCATAAATAAGTCTACCCGGTATAATCAAAGCTTCATTTAGAATAGATCTAACAGTTAAGAAAGATTTCTAAATTGGGCAAAGATGATTATTTCTCGGCCAATATCATCCACTTTAACAATATAAACAACGCTATACGAGATAACGGTTACGCTACAAATAGTAGAACATTTCTAGTTCAACGTCCTCTTCTAATGCTTTCCATTCATAACGCAGCAAACAAGAGAAACAATGATAAATTATCTTATTTAATAAACATTTTTTTAAATATAATTAATAATAATAATAATAAAGGTTTTAAAAATCGAATTTCTGATGAGAAACTACACACGAAGACAAAGAGATGAGACGTAGAAACTAAACGGCATCATCATCATCGTTCGAGTTAATTGGCCAGGCATAAAATTAGTTCTGTTTTTTCTTCTTCTTCTTCTTTCCTTTTCCTTTCTTCTTTCGGTTTATGAACCCGTTGAATTCTGCTCCAGCATTTTAATACCACGAAATTAAACCATTACTCAAGAGAATTGAACGTAATTAATTCCACGCGTTTCACTTACCCGTCGTCTTAAGTTTACGATTTTCTTCGTATTCCTAACGTTAAAAAGGGGGGAGGAGAATGTAAATTACTAAGTTTATTCTTCTGAATGTAAAGAATAACATTGTAATTTTCATTTGACCCCCTTCGTATATTATGAAAAAAAAAAAGAATACAAGAATTCAATAAAGGTTGTGTCCGTGTGTACGTGATTAAAGTTTTATCCCGTTAACTTATGAACAAAAAATGAAAAAAATTACTTGTAAGCTTCTGTACTTATGTAAAGATTTTGTAATCTTGTAAAATTGTTTTTAACATTAATACAGTAGACCCCTTCTATAACACTGTAGATAATTCCGCGTTATATGAATTCCATGTTGTACGAGTCACTTAGATTATTTCACAAATACGTGAGCCGTTCACAGCCCGGCACACGTATTTGTAAAATCTAAGTGACTCGTACAACATGGAATTCATATAAAACGAAATTATCAACAGTGTTATAGGGGGGTCTACTATATATATTGTACTTTTTCCCTTCCATTTTTTATTTTTAATTTATTGAAAAAAGTTATCAAAATATTGTATAACAAAACTAGAATTTTAAGAGAGAAAAACTTCTACAAATAAGTGGCGTTTTTGGCCGAAAGTATTAATTAAAATCCCAAATTATGCACGATTTGTGTACAGTCGACCCCCTATAGCACTGTTGATTATTCCGTTTTATATGAATTCCATGTTGTACGAGTCACTTAGAGTTTACAAATACGTATGCCGGGCTGTGAACGGCTCACGTATTTGTAAAATCTAAGCGACTCGTACAACATGGAATTCATATAAAACGGAATAATCAGCAGTGTTATAGGGGTCGACTGTATAGAAAAGCAAACATAAATTATACAAAATTCTATAAGAAAATCGCCTTATAAGTATATATGTATTTGCTTCTACAATTAAATTACTTCAAAATTTTGATAGGTACGACGGGAGAAAAAAAAAGAAACCGAATTTTGTAAGCTAGCCTATATACACAATTTACATTTTTACATCTCATTAACCAGTTAATGCAGTTAATTTCTTTATAAGAAGTGGGGGGGGGGAAAGTGAAAGGTCGCATCTGAAAATAGGTTACCTCCCACAGTAACGTACTATAGAAGGTTAAAAAACAATAAGGTCAAACCAACGATGCCATTTAGGGGTATAGACCGTTATACACGGGGTCGAAACAAATTTAAATGTTCCACTTTGGAAAAATCAATTTCTTACATTTCTAAACAATCGAATTATCTTTAACATTTAGAAATTTCGTTGGTTTAAACGATGAAGAAAATCAATCGCCAATTTTTCCATCCCTTTTGAGTAATAAGGGATTGGAGCGACAGGTTTTTCTCGGGCATCTTTAAAACATATTTATTCACCTAATGACGTAAGCAAATTGCTTTTAACCGTCCCGATTGTTTATTTTTTTAATCTGATAAAAGTTAAATTATAATTTTTAAAAATTTACATATATTTTTTTAAATTAAAAGAATGGAAAATTATGTAGAGAAGACAAAGGATGCGCAATCATCGCGTATTAAACGACACGTTGCCAGCTTTTTTTTATTTCACTGTCCCGCACGTTACCATGACGACCACGCTGCCAGCGATCGTTCTACCATCTAGCGACCGAATGGAAAACGACGCGAGTATATATACACATATATATATATATATGCGAACGAGTGTTAACACGAGAAACTTTACGTTAATATAAAAAAATATATACAAACTTCTTGTGTAGAAAGATAAAGTTAACGTTTAAAATCATCGCCATTTTGAAGATTTAACACGAACAAATCGGTACTTACTACTGCTTGCGATATGGAATTGCTGGGCATAGTCCTATTTGGCGAGCACTCACAGGCATCCAACTGTAAGGCTATAAAGCAAGAGGCCGTTAATAATAGCCTTGCAGGTGACAGACGTGGGCATTTAAAATTTGTCCTAATCCATTTTCCCTTTCCGCAGCCTGGTCTTCCAGCCGCCAGCAGCATTGTGCCAGGAACACCTCTTCACCTACAACACATGCAAGCAAGCAGACAACCAACTCTCGTGTCTTCTCACTGTTGATCTCGTTTCTGTCTGTCTGTAACCTAATCGTTGGATCGCCTCACTCTCTCGGTGGGGTGGAACTGCGATGTTTACGTTCAATCGATTGGCTTTATGCGCTCTACTATATGCCAGCAGCATGAAAGGGAGTGGTTTTAAAGTGTAAATATCTGCCTGTGACGTCATTTAAGCCCTGCCAGAATGCGTCTGTTGTATTCATTGGGTTTCTAAACACGGGAAGTAATGCTAATATTTCCGTTAATGTGTTTCTTTCGTAAAATTACAAATGATTTTTAAAAGAAATTGTAATGTCAGAAAAAAAATAAATAACAGCCCATTTTCTACACAAGTGAAACTCAATGTTTTCCGTGTAATTAAACAACGCTCTTTCACGATAAGAGTTTTCTTAAATTTCTTCCTCTTTTAAAAAATGTAAAATAAACACCTTTAATCTAAAAAAAAAACAAAAAATAACACAGTTAAACAGGTATTAAAGCTACTTAACTTTTAAAATTCGATTAATTTCGTAGCTTGTTAACACAAATTTCTTTTTGTTTGTTTTGTTTTTAATCATATACAACTTCCTTTTAGCGTATCTTTCTTTTTCTTTCCTTGTATTTTTTTATACGTACTAAGTATCCAATGTTATATACAGTAATTAATTGTACAGAACACTATCCAACCTTCATTCAGGTAAAGAAATTGTTCTCTTCAATTTGTATTGTTAGAAAAAAAAAGAACATCCTCGCTTCTATTAAACTTCGAAATTTAAAAAATAATTCATCATTTTCTATATATATATATATTAAAAAAAATCAACTAAAGAGCATTAACATGCCGCATCGAGTAGAGAGTTAAAAGTTGGATATTACAGAAAGTAAATAAAAGCTTTAGAAAGTGATAAAGTAAGAGTTGTGGAGAATAATAAGTTAGGCAACAAAAGATTAAGCTAGATATTAAAGAGAATTGTCGACATTGTATATATTTAGGATGCCATTCGTGTACCCAGTTTGGCAATACTAAAGATATAGACTTACACAGAAATTGTTTGGGATTAAAGTACCCGGTAGAGGATTATATTCTACAGATTTGTGATCAATTTTATGAATAGATTACTTTTCTCGAGTGAAATAAAAGATTTTTATTAACTAGTATGTTTGTTATAGGATATTAAATGTGTTTGAATGAATAGTAATTTCATATGTGTGGGTTTTGTTTTGGTGTGACTCGAGTTTTGACGTCGCTATGAAATTTCAAATTGCTTCGCGTACACGTAAAAAAAAACATTATAGGAATTAAGGGAACAAAACTATTTTTCTGGTATGTTAATTAATAGAAAAATAATCAAAGTTCTTTTTTTTTTTAAAATCTCAATTTATAAAAATTATCATCTAAATACAATTTATAAACTGGGTATTTTATTACGAGTGCATTTATTTGTATATAAAATTTTTTATAAATTAAAGAACAACGCTTTAAAAATTAAAAACAGTGTAATTAAAATGCGTTTCACAACTTTGCAATTTCATAAAAAATGTAAATGACGTAAAAAAACGATTTCGTGTTCGATTATTACGTCACATTACATTAAAATACGATTGGTAAAGAAGAAAAATTGAAAATATTCAAACTTTATGTTAATGATTTTTTAAAAGATGAAGTAATGTCGTGACTAATATGAAAAATTATATGATAAAATATAATTAATTCTTTAAAATATTATTATTATTTTTTAAATGAATCTATCAAAGAGTTAAGTTTTCAATAATTTTACGCTATTTTTATTCTGCATCTATTTAATACGAGAAATGTGAGAAAAACGGTTTCAAATCGGAAGGTTATTTTGTCAGTAAACAAATTTAAAATAGATTTTGTTTACTCGAATTGTCCAATGTCAATGTATTTTAAACTACGTGGATAAACTTTTTGTTATTAATTTGCATACACAAACCAGTCTCGTGTTGTTTATGACGGATGAAAAGAACCCGATCAATTTTTAATTTTTTTCTTATATAAGACTGTGCTGAAACAATTAAAAATGGCACAACTGTTCTTAGGCTAGTACATAATTTATTTTGCATAATTTACATAAAATAGCTAACACTTTCTTCATATTATATATTTATATAATAAACGTTATAGCTATAAAACAATACTTGACCTTTTAAAAAATATTATTAAAATCTGTACACACTTAAAAACATTATCTTTGATATTAAATAGTAGCTTAGTTTCTTGAGTAATTTATGAAAATAAACAATGATAATTATGGAAAATGTGCTTAAATCTTATATTGTTTTTTACATAAAAGGCACAATAATTTATGAAAAAAAAATATGGATATTTTGGAAAATTGTGTACTTAAATCTTGTGACAATTTCACTGTAAAAAGTAAAGATTTTGTTTTGAAAAAAAAAATAAAAAATTTACAGTAAAATGAACGATAAGAAACTGTAAAACCCAATTGTGTACATTGATAAGGATTATAAGCGTATCGATAACCGTGACAGTTGCGATTATATCACATAAAAGACAATGATTCGTATACTCAGCTACGTCAAGGACAAAGGAATAAAAATAATTGTCGTTACTAAAAATTTATTCACGCAACAGTAACGCGAATTCAATTTAGGAAAAAGCGGCGAGAAGAAAAAAAAAAAACACACTAAATTTTCAACAACGGGAGGGCCCCTAGAACGTGGCCTGGTCTGCGTGACGTCTCCCTAGCCTTACCGCCATCTGGCGAACAAAAATATAAGATCAATTAAATTAATATCTGAAATTTTTATTAGTCGACAAAATTTACAACCGGCAATTGTATTATTATATAATAACATATTAATAACTTGGCTTGTAGCGCTTCTAAATTTAGGCTGTTAACAGACTCTCTTTAATAAATAATAATATCAGGCATGGCAAACGCACAAAAATATCTAAATTATTCGTTGTTAAAATTCATTTGCTAATTTGTTACATCCGTCTTAAACTAATATTAAAATTCTTAGAATAGGTAACACGTAAGAGAATTAAAAACTAGTGTTCGATTATAGACTTACATTTCAATATTTTCCAGATAATGTGTATAAATAGTGTGTTTGATTATGTACACCAATGAATATCTATATTTATCCTAGTTCTTGTGTTAATGTTGCATCTAAACACGCATACGCATATATATATTTTTACTGTACGTGTACTCATTTACTCGTGAAAGTATATAAATGAATACGCATACAATAAAAATATACGCGTTTAAACACGTGTTTCATTAATAAAAAAATCATGTTATAAATGTCTTTCTTGAACTAATTTATGAAAAAAAAAACTATAGAAATTTTTGACTAATTTTAACTCCTAAAACTAAATACAGTATAAAATTATATATAATGTAATTTGATGTATCCTTATACTGAAAATAAGCGTAATTTATTTATATGTATTTAAAAAATATATATATTAGTTTTTATAAATTAAAGTGTGTCAAAAGTTTTTTTTTTTTACAAGATGGCACCTATACATTTCTACAATTCCGATAAGAATTTTAAGAAATGCATCTATTAAATTATAACTAACCTTAGCTAAAGTTTAAACGTGTATTTAATAAAGTTTTTGTAGATATAAAACATTGAAATTCAACAGAAAGGAAGCCAAATAACCCTACTTTCTTTTTATAACCTATTTTTTTTTTATATATACGCTGCTGTTTAATTCAAAAACGATTTCTCTCAAACGTTACGGACGTAACCGATAAAGCCGAGTCTCTTTCAATTGGCATTGACGTTACGACGATTAAACAGCTTCTATATCGTAACGCCAATAGACGTGACGAATGAGTAAGAGCATGGAAAATTTAAAACCGCAAACTAAACTCGAGTCTGTTTAGTGTTAGCTAAGGGTCGACTCGATTTTCGTGACATCTGGACCCGCCCACGCCACCCCGTTTTGTCACCTAATCTATCCAAAAGTGAAGTCATCTCCCGATCATTTTTATTATAGAAAATAATTTATCTATATCCTTACTGGTTATAAATTCGTCTATGTTAGAATATAAACTTTCCTATCCACATTAATAGAACGTCGTGTATGGGGAATTTTAAATGCGACTGTTATTTGTCAACTAGAATTCGGCCATGGAGATGGCACGTGTCGAGTAATAAATATATCACCCACTCGATTAGCTGTAGATAGGAGTTTTTGTTCCAATGTCTTATTTTTACTTTATAAGCTTAGATAACATTCGATACAAAATATCAACTTCAATTAAACTAGGGATCCCTTTTATTTTTTTTCTGGTTCTTCTAAATTTCGCCCATTATACTAAAATGACAAGTACTATTCTAGGATCCTCGATAAATTTAATGAAATGAAAACGTTTCTTGTTTTATTATAAGTTTTTTTTGTAAGAGTTTAGTGAAAAAAACGTTTTTTTTTTAAATTCTTCTATAAAGCTTAAGGAGTTAAATTAATGCTAAAATAAGCAACTTTCTGCATTAACTACTGGAGAATGTTTAATGTAATGCTGAAGAATATGTAATGTATAATAAAAACAGGCAGTAATTTCTTCTATCCGGGTGAAGAACTTTAAAAAATGGTGGAAATTAAGAGTTTAAGTATAGAGTTTTTCTTTTTATTTCCAATTTTTCAGGAGTTGCAACAATTTTTCAGTACTTATAATAGTAAACAAGATGGAATTTTTAGCTTAACTGCTGAAGAGGAAAAAACTGAAGAGAATTTTCAGTATTTTTCCATTATTTTTTTTCCCTCTTCAGCAAAAAAAATATAAAAATAACAAAGTCCCTATCTGAAAATTACCAAGGATGGGGTGGAATATAAAAAAAAAAAGAATTAAAAAATCCTTTCGTGAAATTCTTTCGTAATAAGCAACATTTTAATGTTAAAAATATACAGAATAAATTGATAACTACAATGACACAAGACAACGGTATAAAAATGAAAATAAATACAAAATTAAGACGAAACATTTCCAAAAATTTAATTTATTTATTACTGTATTAAATTACAGCAAACAATCCGAAATATTTGTACAGCTGTTTGATTCATGTTTTGTAATATTGCTCCGCATGTAGTGGCAGTTAAGTAGGCGTCAGACACATTTTCACTGTCACACGTGATACGAGTAGTTATCCTTGTAATGGTCATCTTTAGTTGTGACTGGTTGTCCTTGATACCTGTGATCTTGTCCCAATTCCCGGTACAGGTATTC